AGTAACCAGACTTCGGACAAATTCATGATAACAGCAAAATAGTATTGTACAACAACCGCATTGGAATTAGTTGGAAAAAAATGATACAAACATCACCTGGAAATCCAATCTAAACATAAGCAAACCGGAACATAGCGTATAAAACTCACGTTCGCCAAATATTTATAACATGCCAAACAACTTGCAGCATATACGTTTGACCGGCAATAGAAAAGTCCTTGCTTGTAAATCAATTTTCATGCGTTTTTTATTCTATTGCACCAATCCCTCACATAAAATCAATACAAATTAGTTTCTTCTTTCTTCAGGGATACATTTTGGTTAAGAATGTCTAATAGGAAAAAATAAAGGCAAGTACCTTTTTATAACCTCCACCATTCGCCATTCCGTTTGTAACAAATCGAATTAATAATTTTAGACCTAAAAAAGCATATATATTGTGGATCAGCGTAAAATTCTAAGACGATCCGTCCGTTTGTCTTTTGTAATAACGCTAGAGTCAAAACGAATTAAGATAAAAATCTGAAATTTTGCACAGATCAGTCTTTCAACAGCAGGCAGGTTATGATCGAAGATGGGCTATATCGGTTCACGATATCGTATAGCCCCATACTAAGGTACCCCCAATACTCGGCATATTGATGGTTATAGCCATATTTTTCAATAGAATTGTCTGAAAATCCACACAAGGAGTTCTTCTTGGGTACTTTACACCCTGTAAGAAAATTATCTATATATGTCCACGATATCGTATATCCCCCATATAACGGTTTCTCCTGATATTCGGTATTTTGATGATTGTAGCTAAATTTGTCAATGGAATTATCTGAAAATTCTCACAAGGGTTTTTTTCAGAGAATTTTGCCCCCCTTGAAGAGAAGTGTCTATATAGGCCTATATAGGTTACTTCTGAGTACTTCAGCCCGTGGAAGAGAATGTCTTTATAGGTCCACGATATCGTATATCCCCCATGTAACGGCACCCCTTGATATTCAGTATTTTCATGATTCTAGACACATTTTTCAATGAAATTGTCCGAAAATCCACACAAGCAGCTCCTTCCGAGTACTTTACTTCTGTAAGAGAATTGTTTATATAGGACCAACATATTCTATATCCCCCATATAACGGTACCTCCTTATATTCGGCATTTTGATGATTGTAGCCAAAATTTTCAATGGAATTGTCTGAGCACTTTACGCCCTGTAGAAGAATTGTCTATATAGGTCCACAATATCGTATATCTTAAATGGGTACTACAGCCCATGACAATAAATTATCTATGCAGGCACACGTCTTCGTATAGCCCCCCATATAACTGCTACATTCGGTATTTTTAAAAGTTTAACAGAATTTTTAACGGATTTAATTTTTTTTGAAAAATTCTAAATTCATTTCAAATGGTGGAGGTTATTCAAAGTTCGGCCGGCCGATTTTACTGCGTTTTTGCTTGTTATTTTTAATTTTGAAAGTCGGATGAAATAAAATATTATGAAAAAAAATTTATAAAATATATGAGCACTAGCTGGCCCGGTCCGCGTTGCCGGCCCGTAGTTCTTGTCTATTATGCATATTTGTCAAAGCATAATTATTCACAGATATGACTGATATAAGTGTTCACGTACTGGTCGATTAAAAGAGTTTTAAAATACCTGTACCCATATTTAAGCGGTGGGCTTCAATATTTAAACCGAGGGCTTCAAATGTGTGGATGTACAAATCTATTAAAAAGTATATATCAATCGTATCCCCAAGTAAGGGATCAAATTAATTTTTAATATGGTAAAAATCGTAGCAAAATTTCCCAGTCAAATGAGCAGTAATTTGGAATTTACTGTATTTTGTACACCTCATCATTGAGGGCGAAATGATTTAAGAATAGCCAAAGTTAACTACCATTAGCACCTTAGATTGTGCATTAGAGTCCTCATAAGACCCCCTAACCATGTCGGTCTGTTTGCCCGCCAAAAGGTGGACTTGAGGGGTACTATTACATGGAAAAAATTCTAAAATTTGTAGATATGTTGAAATTTTTGTGTAATATTTCAACACTTCACCACCCCCCCCCCCCCCCTCAAATTCACATTTTTAGCCAAATCCTTTGAAATATGTAAAATCAGGAGGTACCTTTATTTGGGCACTACTCCGAAACATCGACCTACATTGAAAACTTTCTTCTACTCCTTATAATCTAAGATGACAGATAGAGGCCAAATCAAAAATGTAGCAGAACAACATAACATGTCAAACTGAAAAAAAATTCGCGTGATTTAAATAAGTAAAAATAGTTTTATCCACCTCATAATTGAGGGCAGAATGATTTCAGAACAGTCAAATATAATTACTATTTTACACCCATTATCGTAAGATGGGAATTAATTTTATTTGTCATTTAACTTGTAAGTTGGAGACCCCATAAAGTCCATTTTTTTATCATAGCATAATTCAATGACGATTCAACAAATATTCGGTCCCGTGCTACTTTCTTATATTTGTAATTTGTTCAAGATTTCATAATTTATTAATTCTATATGAAGATGTACATCCCAAATCTACGTTCCCAACCAATATTCTCTTGGGGGTTACAAATTCAATAGAATTCAAAATTTTATCTTCTGACCACACATTAGATGTGAAAGTGGACTTGGGGATACTCCAATGTGGGGACTTTACTTAAATAAATTGCTATGTGGAAATTATTTGTATGATGGTTCCCCAGGGTAGCATAAACACAATTTTTTAGTCAAATCAATTGATGAATGTGGTCAAGACCAATATGGGCCCTATTCTGAAAATTTCAAATTTTATGCGAAGAGGTTCTCTACCCCCTTAGAAACAAAGATGCCAAATAAGGGCCAAAAAAAGTGGCCAAGACCCCAGAAATAGCTTAAATCATACGATGGTTATATAAATATGAAATCGGGTTGTTCCCTTATCCGTGAATTATGATCGATATCATGTCCTGCAAAGGCGATTTAAGGTATTTTGAATGTTTGGGAAGAATTTCAGGAAGGATAGCAATCCTTTTCTTACTAAAAGTCTCATTCGCTCTACTATTTTGCACCCTTTATATTTGGTATTTTACTGATTGTACTCCCAAAGAATTTAGCATTTTGAGCTCTCATTGGACGGATTATTGTCACATGAAAGAAGTAGCTCCAGGCTTTAAAATGAGCCCCATTAGGCTTTTTCGGTCATTTTTGTTTGTTTAAATGTGTTCGCATCTTCCAGCTGAACCACGATGTAGGCCATGGAGTTGAAAGGTAGAAAAAATTATATGTAGTGAAAAATTATTCTTTATTTTGTTCACAAAAATTCCACTGAATTCAATATGATAATACAAATTGAAAAAAACTGACAAAAGAAGAATAACAAATTGAAAAAATCTTCAACTTATTCGCTGATTTTTTACACAAATGCTTAAAGATCCTTGCAAAGTTTGTCAATAGAATGTACTATTATTTTAAAATTCGATTCCATTGCATTTTTTTTTCGATTTTTTCCCGATTTGAGAATTTTTGCAATGAGATCTCTATTTCGTGATTTTTTAAGCGACTTTGAAAAAGTAATTATCTTTTAACTTTGGTGCGACCGCGTTAAATTATTTCGATGTCATCTATCCCGTTTCGCCACCACATAATTCGGTACTACACTTCCATGTAACCCGCCATCAATTTCAGTTCTCAAGAAATCAAGTCAATTAATTTAATTGGTATTAATATTCAAATTCAAAAATAAAATATAAAAAACACTACAAATGTACATTAGAAAAAAGTAAGTTAAAATGGAAAAAAATCATGCAAAATAAAACATTACAATTGTACATTTCAAAAGTCAAAATGAAAATGTTATATATCAATAATATATTGTCCTTTTCGGAGAGGAGACAATTCCGAATTTGTATGAATCGTTAAAATCAGTCCAGCGGTTCTTAAGTTATAAGCGTAGTACCTAACACAACTTTCTTTTATATATATAGATGACATTACTTTGTATAATTTTGCCATATTCACAACCAAAAATTTTAAAAGTACTATAACAAACGGACAGATAAAATGTTGTTTTCAAAAAAAAAAAATAAATAAATAAATAAAAATAAAAAAACAGCTTAGTAGCGATAAATGAATATTTATAATTTTATGGCTTTTTAGTAAATATTACCTTTTGTTATTATACCGAATATTGAACAAATCCATTAGAAAATGTGGCTTACATTGTCGAATACAGGAAGGTTCTTCTACATGGGAGCTATACGAAAAAGGGCCAAGATTTACATTATTTACTTCTGACAACAGACGAAACTTCGGTATTTGTAGTTCGTAATGGGTTCTAGCTTTGGTGGCAGAACATTGTATATATTTATTTCCACTTAAAATTTAAGGCTGAAAGAGTATTGTACTCCCTAAGAAATCGATGTTAACATTCTTGCTAACATTTAAAATTCTTCCTGAGATGGATTTTGCTCCAAAAAACCTAGGAAGCACATGCTTTTCTGTTTTCATAAACTGTTGCTCTGTTCCAGAACCTTTAAGAATCTACTATTTTTTCGATTTCATAAAGGGAAAATCGGTCATCGTAGTAAAAACTTTTACATTCTTGCAGTTCTAGAACAGACTATGTAATTGCTAATGAGTTGTAATTTTCAAATTTAATTTTCCATCAATAATTTTATCCTTGTTATTGCAACTGCATCAAGGTGTAAGTACATAAGAAGCTTGAAGTCATGGCAAGGTATATTTTGTGACATTTCACAAAGGGATTACAGAGCCGCATTAAAATCCTGCCGTCGTTTTCCATTATAATTTGACATTAATATGCCTAGCCATGACGTCTATGTCACACAGCAAACTTTGCTTCTTTCAAAAAAAAAAAAATCAATAAAATTGGAATAGTCAAATTGTTTTTTCAAATCTTTTATTGCTAGTTGTATACCAATCACATAATAATATTTTAACGTATTTTTAATTAACATACATACTTATTTTATTACTCTATTTCAGACTACTGCACAAAAATATGGCCTGCGTTTGTGAAATGATAGGGCTTGCCTGCTTAGTGGCGCTCTTCATGAGTTTTTCAAATAAAGCACCATATCAATTAAAAATGGCCATATTTCTAATTGGTAATGGTATTATCGTACTTATTTGTATACCATTTATGATTTTGAGGCCCCGAGATTATAGAAATGCATTGTGAGTAAATCCAAAAATAATAATGTTTACAATATTGTTAATTTATTTTATCTATCTGTTGAACAGTGGACCAGCTTGGGGATGCAGGCAGCTATGCAAGGCTTTGGGTGTAACGATGGAAATAAGAGGTTTGGAAAATATTCGCAAAGAGCATGGCAGTGTAGTATTAATGAATCATCAAAGTGCTTTGGACTTGTGTGGTGGGTATACATTTGTTTTTATAAAAATATATACAGACTACAATCACAGTTTTACTTACAGTTCTTGCTTATCTTTGGCCTGTTATTGGCCGAGCCACAGTCGTTTCGAAAAAGGAGGTTTTGTATCTTCCATTCTTTGGGTTTGGATCCTGGTTGTGGGGTACTCTCTTTATAAACAGATCTCGCAAAACCGATTCCATCAATGCCTTACAAAAGGAATCGAAAGCCATCAACGAAAGAAACTGTAAACTTTTGCTATTCCCCGAGGGAACTCGTAATTCTAAGGAAACCTTGCTGCCTTTCAAAAAAGGATCATTTCATATTGCACTCCAAAGTCAATGTCCAATTCAGCCAGTAGTCATCTCCAAATACTGGTTCTTAAACGGCGAAAAGAAAATCTTCCGACCAGGCCATGCCATTATCCATATTCTGCCCGAAATTCCTACGGCTGGATCCAAGAAAGAAGACATGGATACAATAATAGAAAAAACGCACAACGTCATGCAAGCCGAGTACACAAAACTCAGTCAAGAGGCAAAAGCTCTCAACACAAAGAAACACGTTTAGCCTGTTTGTATTTCGGAACGCTTAAATGTGCTCTATAGTTGTATCTCAGGTATTGCACGATATGGTATATGGTATATGGTATGGTACATTTCGATATTTACAAAAACAGGCATTATGGCGGAAATTAGGTTTTTGAAAATAAATTTAGTATTCATTTGGACTTATTCCTACAGCTTGAAGATCAAAATGAGAAGACAACTGAAACCCAACATCTTGTGTGTAGAAACATTATTTTCTTATTAGATTATTACTTAGGTATTGTACTTTCTAAATGTATGAAATTTACATAAACAATATATAGTCAAATTAACAAATTGTATAAGAATGCAACAAAAAAATGAAATTAAAATAAAAAAATGTGTTAAAATACAACAACAAGCATCCAGGATTTCTTTCAGGTTCAACTATGGTAGAAGGATACATGTAGTCGCATCGACACAGCTGCTGGGACAATGAACTGTCAAACCGATTTTGGAATTGAAAATGTTGAAACGAAAAATTATTGAAATTTGTAAAAATTGTTGTAAAAGCGTCGTGTAAGAAAACATATAAAAACCGGTAAAGAAAGTCTTAAAGTCGGGCGGGGCCGACTTTATGATACCCTACACCACTTTGCTAATTTAGTAGAGCTCCACATAACAATTAAAAGTTTTTATGGGAGAATTCAATCATACACGCTATGATTATAATTATAATTTAAAGTTCAAAGGACTAAATATGCCGAAGCATTTGTATCTTTTAAATTCGGAATTGTATTGCCCATTTGGTGCACAATTAATTTGAAATCGGATAAAGATATATATGGGAGCTATATCCAAATCTGAACCGATCTCGATAAAATTTAGCAAAGATATTTTTGAGCTGTATTTGATATATTTCCCTGAATATCGTTGTTACGGAGTGCATATTACGGTTGAGGGTAACAAATATAACAAATCGGATGAATAATATATACGAAAGCTATAGCTATATCTGAACCGATCTTCACCAAATTTGACATACTAGCTTCTAGACTCAATTCGGTCGTAAGTGCAAATTCCATCCCATTTGGACAAATATTAGACGTTTGGTGCACAATAAATCGGACGAAGTTATATATGGGAGCTATATCCAAATCTGAACCGATCTCGATAAAATTTAGCAAATGTATTTCTGAGCTGTATTTGATATATTTCCCCAAATATTGTTGTTGCAGAGTGCATATTACGGCGGCGGTGGACAAAAATAACAAATCGGATGAACAATATATATGGGAGCTATAGCTATATCTGAACAGATTTCGTTCAAATTTTGCATACATATTTTCAGATTTGGGTGTATATGCAAAATTCCATACAATTTAGGCTAATATTACACGTTTGGTGCACAATAAAAGGCAAATCGGACGAAGATATATGTGGGAGCTATATCTAAATTTTGACCGATTATCTCCAATTTCAATAGGGTTCGTCCTTGGGCCAAACAAATGATCTGTGCAAAATTTCATCTGGATCGGGCAATAAATGCGACCTGTACTTTGATTACAAAAATACATGGACAGACGGACGGACGGACATGCATAAATCGACTCAGAATGTGATTCTATGCAGATCATCAGGAGGAACTATGGGTCTATCTTGTTTCCTTCTGCCTGTTACAAACAAATGCACAAAGACATAATACCCTGACCTCCTTGTGGTGTAGGGTATAATAACCTATTTTTTGACAAAACAATTAAAAATTTTTGACATATCAATGTTCGCAAGCGTTGATGGATCTACAGTATTCTTCTATCATGGGATCAACTAATTACTATCACTGCCCTTGGTACAATAAAAAGGTAAGGTAGAACGACTAAGTGATTACAATTTTTTCTAAATATGCCCGACTTCTGCCCGTTTTGTGAATTTATTGTTTTGAAAACAAAATATTTTCCTTATTAATGATTGGAAGGAACCATGGGCGAATTCGAATTACAACAATTTGTTTGACATATCAAGTTGCCTACAGGTGGTCTGATAGGGCTACTTTGTAATTCTACGATGGAAGAAATTCTAATGCTAATTCTACGACAAAAAATTTAGATTTTGTCGACGCATTCGTTGCAATAAGCATTTTGAAAACACCCGAATTTGAATATTTTCTGAACAATTTTTTATTATTGAAAAGAAGACACACACATAAGCAAATGAAGTTGACATATTAAGCCAGAAAAATAAAAAAATTTAAATCATATGGTAGTTCTGCCCTATGATATACCCATGGATATACCCACGGTACAATGAAGACAATGTTGGCTTAGTTGGAAGCATTTGCAAGTAAAGAGGCCTACGTGTATTGATTGTAATGGCAGAGTTACTATCAGAACAAATGCAACAATTGTTTTGTATCAATTTGTTGCATTGATTGTGAATAATTAAACAAAAAACTGCAAGTACCAGTGAGATCGGTTGGATAAAGCATTTAACGTTTTCATAACAGCAATATAGTGAGTCGAACCGTTATATGGCGGCTATAGCAAAAATATAGAATATTTTCTACTACAAAGATTGATATGTATGTGGTATAATAAAAAGGTAAGGTAGAGCTACCAGCTGTTTATACACACACACGTTTATTCTCCCTGAGAAGTTTTCCAGTCTTATTTTTTAAACAGAGTCTAAGTTTTCGAACAGAGATTTTCTGTTTAGGCACGGAGATATATATTATGTTGCGGAAGATCTGGACTATATACATACCTATCTACATCATCAATTGATGCATTTCTGTTAGATGGTACTTAACACTCAAATAACCCTTTTCTTATCCACCATCATAAGCGACCTACATTCTTGCGATTGAAGTCCAAAAATTACTGTCCTTCATGTTTTGCAAAACCCTCCAAATTTAAATGAATCATAATCGCATGCCCACCTTCGCACATTATTAGGAAAGTACGTTCCAAAGATCTGGACTATGTTGGCAGATTGAAAAATGATTACTTTTGAGAAGGTCATATACTACAACAATGGACGTTACTAGCTCGAAGATGAGGCTAAGATCGCTGGCAGAGATTCGTAACGAACGTGGCCTGTTCTTCGTCTGTATGTCGATCTTTGCTTTAGTCTTTCAGCCTAATGTTGCCACAGTTTACACAGAAACATGGTCGGTATATTCCGCTAGATTGTCCTCTCCCTTAGGAGGAACATGACACTCTTTAAGACCATGGTTTGTTACTGCACATATTGCATCGTGCGATTAATTGCCAGACGGACATCGCTAAGTCGACATAGAATTATACGCTGATCAAGAATATATATTCTTTGTTGGGTCTGATATGAGTATTTTGAGGAGTTAAAAACGGAATGACAAAGTTAATATACCCTCCATAGCATAGTATAGGGTATAAAATATTAGAAGTGTTTTTTTTTTCCTATCTATAAACAGAGGGAAATAATTTGTTACCTTTAATTTTTCATCTTTAAATTTTCTGTTTTCAATACAATTTCTCTGGTAAAAATGATTTTTTTAATTATTTGCAAAATTTTTAGAACTATGATACATTTTAAAAGAAACAAGTAAAAAAGCAGTAAGTTCGGCCAGGCCAAACTTTGAATGCCCTCCACCATTTGGAACGAATTTGGGAATTTTCAAAAAAAAAAACATTTGCCAAAATTCTGTTTAAATCTTATCTTGAATATAGCCGTTATATTGGGGTCTATACGAAGACGAGGGTCTGCACAAGCAATTTTTGTGTCATAGGCTATATAACACATAACGAATTCTAGATACGCAATTTGAAGCAACTCCGGTGAATAACGTCCCTAAAATCGCCAAATATCGGTAATGCAACTTTCTCGATTTTTCGGTTTTTCATTAAGCATTATCATGATAGAACAGTCAATTTTTTTAGTCCCGCGATTTTTCTCAAAATTGTCTTTCATGACAACGTTTCCACTGTGATTACAAATAACCAAAAGAAAATTTGAGTCAAATCGGCCCAGCCGTTCTCAACTGATGTGTTACTATACTATTTCAAATTTTTTACATATAAATTTAAAGAAGTAGGTGTAGCCAGTTCCTCTGACCCCAAAAAGATACCTAGGGTTGGAAGGAGAATCATGATTACGTCGTATACTAACTGTGGAATAGATATCTTCATGATTTTGACAAATATAAGGATTTTAGATAAATCGAAAAATCGGCGCAAAATTGGGCGAGGTCACTTTTTCTTTGCATAAAAACCTTAACCTTAATGTTCGTCCTAACATTTAAAAAATATATCCAAATGGTTCCAGCCGGTCTCAACTGATTCAATTACCAACGAACAACAATTGGTTTATATATAGATTAAAAAGTAGGCGTGGTCTGTTCCTCAGCCCCCATATAAATACTTAGGATTGGAGGGAAAGTCTACAGTATGTCGTGTAATAATTTTAAAACTGATATCTTCATTATTTGGCAAATATAAGGATTTTAGATAAATCGAAATAGTGAGCGTAAAAGTAGGCGTGGTCAATATTTTTTTTCTTTAAAACCTAACTCAGGATATGACGAACGTTTGTACAAAAAAATATGCAAATCGGTTCAGCCGTTGTCAACTGATTCCAATACCAACGTACAACAATTGATTTTTATGTATATAGATTTCTAAACATTGTTGCATTGCTTTTGAATAAATAACAAAACAAAAACGCAAAAATTGACTGAAAGGTCAAAATTTCCTTTCAAAATCATGTTCTATATTTCTCTACAGATTTATTCCGCTACAAAAAGTGCAAATTCTGTCCACACATAGGGTAAGTGTACCATTAGTCGGCACTTTTAGGATTTTCGATTTTTCAATCTTTCAATATTCTGAGCGGAATCTTTCAATTGCTAAAAAATAAAGTTGTTCACATTCCAAATTTTGTTTAGTTCTCGAAATAATAAACAAAAAATGAATTTGTTTTTATTAAATTGACAAAATTTGCAATTTTACTAAAATAGTAGTTTTTTGCCAGTAGTCGGCACCATTTTCCAATGCTCGGCATGTTTATTTGCCTGTAGTCGGCACATGGTATTTCAGTAAAAAAATATTATTTTGTATATTTTTTATTTCAAATGGTATAAAGCAATGTAACATTACTAATTCACAGTTTAATCCAGAATTTGAAATTAAACTCGTTTTTAAATAGTGTTTTATTTAATTAGCATTACATTCAGTAAGGTATGGATTTTCAATTAAAATAAAAATGTGGCTAAATAAAAAAATGTACCTTTCTTATATTTAGAATTTGTAAATTGATCTTTTTCCTTTGGATAGCCAACATTTTATTTTTTCAAAAATGCCACCGCTATCTAAAACGCCAAATAGCTAATTTAAAAACCCTACTTAATTTAGAAAAGTAGGGTCAAAAATCACAAATAAAAGCAACTGC